GGGTCCACGTGGTTGAAAGGTTTTGAATATTTCGTCCATCTACGGTAGTAGTGCGAATCATGAGCTCTTTAGCCAGGAGCGGGAGATGGCACTGCTGCTTTCTGGTCTGCTCGGAGTGGCGAGCGTCTGACGACGCTGGAGAGCTGTGCATGTTTTAAACGCAGGGGTTTTGACGATTTCGCAATCCAAAGCCAAATTGACTGAGGATTTGACTTTCCAAGTTGTTGCAGCTTTGTGGAGAATAGTTTTCTATTTCCATCTATTTCCTCTCTGCTTGTGTTCTTGGCAGGAAGGGCACACCGACGTGGTGAAGAGTGTGGATTTTTCTGCTTGTGGGCAGATGGCGTGACACTTGAAGACGAGTCAAGTAGGGTCGAGTGAGTGTCGAACTGACAAAGACATCGCTCCTTTTTAATGACCATCTTCACTCTTCTGAAAGCAGCATATCTTGGAGCAATTAGAAGACCCGCCCAGCAACTGGATGGAGGCCAACTTCACCAATGCGTAGGAGATCAGTTCTTGTTAGCTTCAGCGTTTCATGACTTGGAGCCATTCCCAGGCTGCCACGGCCTCTGCAGATGGCACTGCGCGAGTGTGGGCATGTGACTCAAAAGTTCACAACAGATGTAGCTCACAAAGGCTTTGCTGCAACCAACTTCGAGTTTGTCCTTGGCTGTTTCGACCGGACACGAGGCCGTACCATCTGGAAAGTGTCTCCAAGTCTACAGAGGACTGTGATGATGCGAGCGACAGTTTCAAGAATGTGAGTTTTGTCAGATGGACTTTTTGCTACTAGTAACAAGAAGCTACTAGGGGCTCCTGGCATCGCTACTAGGAGCAAGGACGCTACTAGGGGCTCCACCCTAGTTGAGGCCTCCACCCTAGGCAACAAGCCCAAGCAGGTTTCAAAACTAGACGACCAGCTTGTGGTGACCACAAAAGAACAATCGACAGCTCGTACCCGCAGCTTTTCCCGCTCTGGCTCCAACGCCTCAGTCTGTAGCGATCCATGCGGCGAAATGCTTCGGAGCCGGTGCCGAATCCGTCTTCGTCCACTTTCTGGGAGCTCCACAGAAAGCTTGGGGAAATCTATGCTGCAGATGTGGCGCAATTCACGGCAGCCTCATCGTCCCTGCCCCTTGGGCCCCTTGGGCCAGTGCACTAATTATATAGCTGGGGACTTCGCCTCAGAACTGCCAGGAATTGTTCTAGACCATGTACAAAATATATAACCATGTTTTGGTCTCTAATGGGTTGGCTGCCAAAGATTCTGAGTAAATGAAGGAATTTTGTGCTCTGATCGACCTGCGTTCTCATCCTCCTCAGGAACAGTGAAGGCATCAAGACCAAATATCTCTATATGCACATATGATATGTATATATATATAGGTATATCTATACCACCCAACTCAGCAACCTACACCACTAGCTAGCTCACTAACAAGCTACCTGCTGGATGGATTTTGAACGGGAATGGGGTGTGGGTGCAGCGTGACGCGTCAGAGGGGTGAAGAACAGCGCAAGCCTTGTGCATATACAAGTCGTGTTATGACAACAAGAATGCTACTAAAAAGGCCTCTATATGTAGAAGCTAGCTTAGCCTAGTAGCGAACTAGTCGCCCTTACCCAATTAAGTAGGGAGACGGGGGAGCGGCCTTAAAAGATAAGGTGTTTGACGATGAAGCCAAGGTCTCCTGCTTCAGGACCTAATGGTCTTCCTTTGCATCGTGGATTGCCATCAACAAGTCCAGTGCTCCCAGGACTTGGAGTCCCTGTACGGACACTACTTGACGATTCTGAAGGCGAAGGGAAAGGCAGGGGACAAAAAGCAGAAAAGTAAACTTTTAGGCCTAGAATGAATGACTCAGGATTAGTGACGAAAGTTTGAAGAGAGGAACTGGCAGAGAGTCTTGAGGTGCATGTTGTGTACGTGAACGGTAAAGCGCAACTGTGAGGGAAATGGCAATGATGATATCTTTTTATTTCTTTAAAAAGGAACAGTGTCAAGGAGTCAATATGATTTTCTTGAAGAACTTAAGTTGGAATACTTCGAAGCATTCACAGTGTCAGAGTCACAGGACAGGAGAATTCGGAGGAGCTTGACTTAGACTCTGTGCCGAATCTTGACTTCAAACCATATGCGTGCTTCAAAGAGACTGTGAAGGACAAGAAAGGATCTCAAAGACGGACGGTCTCAATGGAACGAGCAATGGATGTGCTCGGGCAAACATCAGCAGAGAGGAAAGAAGGAAGGAGGAATTGCTTCCAACGACATAGAGATGTTCTTCATCCGGGAGGGCATTTTCGAACAGGATGGAATTTGGCAGTGGCTTTCTGCGTTCTTCATGACCTGATCTTCGTTCCACTTGAAGCTTTTGAGCTACCTCCATCAGTTCCACTGAGAGTCATGGAGTGGGCAACGCAGCTCTTTTGGAATTTCGACTTCCTCGTGTCTTGTCGTACTGGATACTACAAACACGGAGCGCTAGTGTTGGACCCATGGGAATCCTTTAAGCAGTACGCAAGGACATGGATGCCTTTCGATGTTCTTCTGATTTGTTTGGATTGGGCGATTGTTTGGGTCAGTGCCGCTGATGCGGGGCTTGCACAGTGGTCGCGGACGCTGACGATGCTGCGCTTCTTAAGACTGGCGCGGATGCTTCGTTGGGTGAAGCTTCAACGGGTCAACGAGGTTTTTCAAGAGCTTTTGCATTCTCAGGCAGACCATGAAGAGCTTATGATAGTATTCATGCAGATGTTCATGCCTATGTTCGGGATCAACAAACCTAGGAAGCAGATGTAAAACAGCAATGGAGACCCAAGACAAACATTTTCTCGCCAGGCTGCAAGCCTGTACTACTCCCTGTTTGGCAGTATTGCACGACTCTTAGTCCTGAACCACCTGGTGAGCTGCGCGTGGTATGGTGTTGGACGCCTTGGGGGAGCGGATGGATGGTTGCAACAACGAGCTGACTCTGGAATTTGGCAGAGTTATTTAGAATGTTTGAACTGGGCTTTTGCTCAACTTAGTGTGGGTTCTAGTGACATCCTTCCTGCCAACACTTTGGAGTTGGCGTTTTGCTGCATCATTGCGTTCAGATCGCTGATTACATATTCCACCTTGATTAGCGGCTCGCCATTGACAGAGAAGCAGTTCTTTTCCATTCTTTTCCTTTTTCTTGAAACATTTTTGCTGAATCCATGTGATCGTTTAGTCGGCCCTGAGTGTCAGGTACAATGACTTCCCTTATGTCCGGCCTCAGCAGAATCAAAGAGGACGAGGCCACCGAATTCCGATTGCTGCGCAACTATTTGGTACACAATGACATTCCAAAGGGCTTGCAGCAGAAAATTGTACGATTTTTGCAAAACCAGCACCTGGGCACAATTTGGAAATCAAGGCCAAGGTGGGCAACCGTACCTTCAGAGATTGATAATGACTCCTTTGCAGTCTTTTGAAGCACATTGACACATTGCTGGTGTTGTCCACCAGTCTACCAGTAGTGCACTTGGGAGGAGTCTTCATCGATTGGTTGATGGATTGATTTGTAAGTTCACAGACTTGCGTGACTACCGGAGACAGACTTGCGTGACTACCGGAGATGATCAACAAAAGAAACTGAAGTTGCTTTCAATTTGCCAAAGGGTGTAATCTTTCCATCTCCAAGCATTGGGAAAAAGCAAAGGTGGCGAACATGATGACGAAACCTTGCCTGGCCAGGTGCAGTGATGTTCAAGCCGTCGTTCACCCCAGTCACAATATTGTTGTTTTGGGCCGGGGCGAAGGATGGAAATGCACCAAATGCAAGAAGCAAGGGCGAACCAATGCAATTTTTCAAAAGCACTGTTGTAACCACAGATGTGTTAAAGCATAACCAAGCTTGTATAGTGCTGAACTAAAACCATTTGCCAAAGGCTTTCTCTTTGCATGGGGACAGAATGGCTGGAACCAGCCGCTGAATCTGCGAAGCTGTGACGCAGTGAGAAGCTGCAGCTGCGAAAACACGACCAGAGCATACCAGAGCTGCGAAGCTGTGGGGAGGCCCTTGAGACCCCTTCGCGAGATCCCTTCAAGGTACCATGCAATCGCTAGAGGCGTTTGTGAGACCCTTAATTAGCGAGAACCTCAGCGAAGCCCTTTGAAAACGTGTTCTTGCGAGGCCATGTGCAAGACCGTGCCGCGAGACCCTACTCCCACAGTGCACAGTGCTACACATTTCTCGCAGTGCCACAGCGCCAACAGTGCCACAAGCCTACTTGCAGTCGTGTTTGGACCGGGTCTCCACATCCTTGCCCTTTCCGAGGTATGCTTTGAGGAAGCAGGCCAAGTCTGTTGGATCACGAGTGCCTTTGTTAGAGCTCCTGTCACAGCAACTGACGGGGGAGCTCCACATTGAAAGATATCGCAACTCGATCAGAAGTAGCAGAGCCTGTTTGTTTGTCTGTCAGGAGTGTTCAAAACTCGGGTTCTCATTTCTGGATTTGCATCCAATCCATACCAACCAATGTTCCGGTGTTTTCTTCAGAGATCCTGTCGTCAAGAACCATGCTGGTCTTTCTCGCGGGGTGTACCATATTGCATGTTTAATGGTGCAGCCTGTCGAACACGCTTGAGCGAACATGTCGACTGTTTGGCCAGAATACTGCAGCTCTAAGGCCAAGACCTTTGCAAAGTTTCTTTCTTGCGAAACCTTCTGCAAAAAGATGACTTCCAAGTGATTCAAGTTCTGCAGAAGGTCGGCCATTGTGCCATAGAATTTGAACTTGCTGTGTTTTGAAAGGACCCACAATGGACTGTTCTCATCAAGATATTAGACAATGCAGTATATCTAATACACACATCTCATATATTTATATATACACATTCATCAATACATATATATATATATGCATGCACTGCACACGAGCATGTAAGTCGTGCCAGTGGTGTTGCTAGCTGAAATACGTTATTATGTTGTGGAAAAGTCCGTGCTGCTAGGAACAGGCTGTGAGATCTACGGCCAACATAAACCAGATTTCATGTGAACTCCTAGGGGCTCCTGGCATCGCTACCAGGAGCAAGGACGCTACTAGAGGCTCCTGGCCGTACTACTAGGAGCAAGGACGCTACTAGGGGCTCCTGGCCGTAACCAGGTTGCCTTGACAGCTGTCAGCGATGTCATGGTTGCCGCCCATGACGTTGTGTTTCTGGGTGGAAGCATTGCAGCTGCCGCGTACCTAAAGGTCAGTGGTGCATTGACCTACTACCATGCTTCAATGAAAGATGCTTGGATTGGATGTGGGCTTTGCTTTGTGCAAATCTGACCAGAACAACACACAGACAGAGACTACAAAACTGAGTGGCTGCTGTGACCCAGTTTGAGGGCACATCTGCACCGGGATTGTTTTCACACACATCAGTAGTTGCATTCCCTGAATAGTTGGAGGCCATCGCTATTAGGGTGGAGGCCATCGCTACTTGGGTGGGAGGCCACCGCTTAGTTTCACCAGCAGTGGAAGTGGCCACTTCACTGCACCAATGGTAGCAACATTTCACCACACGAATGACCTACCAGTGCTTCGTCTTCACCAGCCAGCCCAAATCGGACTTCACTCACTTCACCAGTGGGAATCTACTAGTGGCCAGCGTTGAAATTGCCACTGTACTAGCGGTAGTTCTTTGAAGCAGAGTTTCTTCACTTGGAGATCGTACCACGTCCAAGGTAGGAAACCGAAAACCCAAAAGTCACCAGCAGTTTCAGCGTACCGGAGCAACAGTTTCAGAATCTGAGTTTCAGAACCCGACCTTGGCGGCTGTCAGACCACAGCCCGGAGTTTTCAGGGACCACCAATTCCGTTGGGGAGTTCCTCGTGATATGTGGACACGCATCCCAGGATTGCAAGTTGAATGGTCAAACGTCCTTGCTTTTTCAAGCTCAAAAACGAGATGTTGTACACATAAAATATTGGAGAGTTTCTATTGCTAGAGAGAACGTTTTCCAACAAAAATGCATCCCTCCTCTTTTATCCCAGACTGCCGCTAGCACCACAGCAGAAGTTTCAGACAGATTTCAGGCTGTTCTGGCAGAGACACACAAGGAGCAAGTACGCAGAAACCACACTGAGAAAGCAAATCCCAAAGGGTTGAACGGTAGGGAGCCAAGGCGTTTACAGCCAGAAGGCAGGAGAAGCACCCAATGCTGTGTGGAACTTTCACATAGTTTGCATAATTCTGCTTGTAAATGTCGAATCTTACTAATATACAATGCTTCTTCAAATACGGAGAAGGGGTTGCTGCATGCCCTTATCCTTCCCCAAAGAATTTCTAAATGCAATCACCCGGTTCATGAACATGCCCCTTTTTGCCCGTAGGGTGGGGGCTCGAGCGCGGCCAGAGGAAAGAGCCGCTCGGTGCGGTTTGGCCCCACAGCGGGCCGGTTTTGTCCTTTGAATAGGACGGCTTTCATGGTAGGCGGAGCCGCTGGGATCGACCTGGTGGCCTAGGACTACGTGGGCGCTGTGGCTGCTGGCGGCGGCCTTGGTGGGGAAGGCGATGCCTTCCGATGAGGTCCCAACCTGGGACGGGGACCCTGCTGGGTTCGAAGGGTTCGCCACTTCATGCAGGTGGTATGAGGCCAGCCTCAAAGACTCGGAGAGAAAGCTGGCGGCGCCCCGGGTCTGGCAGAAGCTTGGTGGGGCTGCGAAGAGCGTGGTACGCCACCTCGACCCGGCCCCCTTCACCACTGAGGGCGGCATGGGCAAGCTCCTGAGTGTTCTTCGAGAAAGTCCGCTGCAGAAACTTCCGGTTCCGGACTCCTTCAACCGGTTGGAGAAATGGTCGGAGCTGAGAAGGGCAACCTCGGAGAGCATACCCCAATTACTTGTTCGGGAGGAAGAACTTTTTGTTGAGCTTCAACAGGCACTTCAACGAGCTAGAGCTGAACGGTTGAAGCACGAGGTACTCTCCATGGCTGTCGGTGCAGATGAACGAGATCCGCCAACATCCCCGACAAGATCTCCGAATGTTGCTGGGACCTTCCGAACCGGAGGGGGTGGTGATGAACCTCGAGAACAACGACAAGGTGATCCAGGCCCTCCGACCCTGGATAATGCGGGTTTCTTCGAGAATGAACTCAGAGGCTACAGGCTGCTGAAGGCCTCGAAGTTGAGCGCTGCTGAGAAACAACATGTGATGACGCTCACCAAGAACAGCACCCACTTTCAGCTGATCCGCAATGCACTAAGGTCTCTTTTTGCTGATGGAGGTGATGGCGGTGATGATGCCGGCGGAAGACTGGCGAGAAGGACCGTGTGGTTCGCTGAAGATCCATCATGGGATCAATGGGAAGAAGATTGGTGGGCTGATGAGACTACCTGGGGCAGCGAAGAGGCCTATTGGGGCAGCGATTGGTCACCTTCTTCCGGATGGGACTACATCGAGGACGAGGGCGACTACATGATTGGTGATGATGGACTACATCAGGTAGAAGAAGAAGGCCATGAACAGACTCCTGAGGAGACAGAGGGTGAGAGAAGGCTGGAAGAGGCCTACGCGATAGCGGCCGAGGCGAACAAGACTCTTGCTGAGGCCAAGCAGGCCGTAGCCAGAGTCAGGGCGGCTCGAGGCTACTACAACCCGGTGGGCATGAAGGGCAACACCACCGGGAAGGGCAAGGGCAAGACAAGATCCCCCTTCGGCAAGGGGAAAGGTTCAGGTGGCACTTCATTTGGTCCATGCTTCATTTGTGGACAACATGGCCACAGCTACGTTCGGTGCCCGGACCGCTGGTCGAAGGGTTCGTCAAAAGGGTCATCTTCGACATCCCCAAAGAGTTCTCCGACTGGGAAGTCAAGAGGGAAATCCAAATTTCATGGCAAAGGTCGAAAAGGCAAAGCCTACTGGGTGGACTTCGGCCACGAGTATGACATGTACGAGGTCAACGTGCTGACCCTGGGCGATGAGACCATCACCGGCAACATGTCAATGTCCAAGGTGGTGATCGACACTGGGGCCACTGAATCGGTCTCTGGAGTTCGAGCAATGGCAAGGCTGATTGACTCACTCTGGTTCCCGTATGACATCACCATCGACCAGAGGCCAAGGTTCCGCTTCGGGAATGGTGAGTACCAGAGAGCGACTTCTCACTGCATGCTGACAACGGCAGCTCTGGGACAGGTTGGCTTTTTCCTGCTCGATGGAGGCGTTGAGGACACGCCGCCACTGGTGGGAGCGAAGACCATGCGCTCTCGCAAGGCGGTCATCTCCTATCACGGGGACTACATCGCCCATCAGAGCTCGGATGGAAGATGGTGGGCCAACACCTTGCAGACCATCGGAAGCGGGCATTTGGTGATGGACCTCTCGGAACCGTGCATTCCACTGCACTTCCTGATCAGAAGGATCAACACTGATCCACGAGTTGGTGGTCATCCTCCTGGAGAAGATGACAACGAGGATGACGATGGTGATGGAGGTGGTGGTGACGGCGCACGCAGGAAGAGAAAGAAGACCAGAGATCTTGGCAGCGAGATCGTGGCAGCGACCGCCAGACATGCCACGAGGGAGAGAGCTACAGGAGGAGTTGCACCTCCTCGACCACCACCCATTGAGCCGGACCCTGAGAGCGACTTTGAAAATTACACTCCATCTCAGGGAGCAAGAGATTCTCCACATCGTGAGATGCTTTCAGCACCTTCCAACTACGGTGCTCCTCCGAACCCCGATGGGGAAGGAAAGGACTCAGAGGAAACAAGGTGCGCAGTTGGAGCTCTTGAAGATCGCATCCCGATTGACTTGGATGAAGGTGAGCATGAAGGTCATGAGGTTCCTGAGGCAGTCCTTGCATATGAGAGTCATGACGATGTGATTGTTGAGACCTTGGAAAGCACTTTTGAACATGCGTTGCCTGTTCCTACCGTGCCAACTACATCTGAAGCACTTGGACATGTCTTGCAACATGACGACTGTCAATCAGCTGTGATCACGGAACATTCAGTCTTGATGATTTCGGAATGGGCAAGTGCTGAACCGGAATTCTCCCTGTCCGACCGCCTCAGCAACCTGGCTCGAAGGCTCGACGAGCTACGGACCTCCATCCCTGTGGAGAATGAAGCCATGCCCACCGGCGACAGAGATGGATCCGAGGCACACCGGTTGGCCATGCCATGGACATCATGTTCCAGGTCCAGTCCGAGCCAACAAGGTGGCGAGCTGGCAGTCTTGCGGACACTGCGGCCTTCGACTCCGATACACCACCAAGGGATCTGGTACGGGGGACTACAGGGCCATTGGTCCTCCACCAGACCAAGTGGAGCAGGCTCAGATGGAGTTGCAGGAGAACTTCAAGGCCCACGAGATCAACGAAAAGATCTTCAACGGGAAGCTCATGGAGATCCGTGGCCGCTCACTGGTGGAGACGAGAGGCAGAGGGCGAACAACGGTGCAGGTCAGAGCGGACGAGAAGCTGGGAGAAGCACTGATGGCCAGTGCGACCTGTCACCAAGGCCAGGGCTCAATGATCCCATATCCGGGAGCGCAGGAGATTGTAAACAAGACCTCGCCGAGGAAGAGATCCCCGGAGAAGCCCATGGCGAAGCCTTCAGCGAAGCCCGAGATCAAGACCGACCCCAAGGAGGAGGCCAAGGAGAACGACAACCAGAGTGTGAAGGCCATGAGTGTGAGCTCAAAAGTGTCCTCCTCGGTGGCAATGGTCGACTCGAGCGAAGTTCAGGCAGCGAGGGAGCTGCTGGAGAAGGTGAGCAAAGGGGAAGTCCTGCCCATCAAGAGCGAGCCGGAGGAGAAGGACAAGGAAGCCGAGTGATGGCACTATGGGAATCCCTGAAGAGCCTACGATGCCGCATGAGGGCGGCGGAATCGATCGAGAAGATCGAGCGCTCTGACCGGCTGGAGGCCACCCAGAGCGACAATCCTACAACATCCAATATGAGCCCAATACGTTCAACTTCACTTGCCTTTGAGGAAATTCCTCAACCACAAGCCACTACGAGCACTACGAACCACGCCTGTGCTACTTGCTTGACGAGCTCTATGGCACAGATTTCTCCAGGTGAGGCGGCCTACGACCGTCCCACATGCATGTTGAGCTCTATGACCAGATCCTCACCGATGACTACACCTTCACCTCTGCTGGAGAAGGAGATTGCCGAAACGAACCACATGGTGAAGAAGGCAGTAAGGCCATCATTGGCCAAGCGACTTGCTGTGGCGCGGCACTCTCTTTGACGGTGATGGAGCCGGTGAAGGAACTCATGCAGATGGTCAG